ACAAAAATCATTCCAAAGTTAAGTCAACTCATGTATCAGGAACGGTTGAGGGCCGCAGGGCTAACAACACTGCGAACCAGGCATGACAGGACTGATCTTTTTGAAACTTTTAAAATACTGAAAAATTTGGAGGATGTTGATCCAGACATTTTTTTCAAAACGTCAGATGTAACACAAACAAGGAGCAACGGTTTCGAGCTGAACAAGCCACAATGTAGAACAGAGAACAGGAGAGGCTTTTTCACCTGGTTGATGGGGTTCTGGGAGTTTTTCTTCTCCTCAAGCCCGGCCCGAGGCCGGGGTCGACTTGTGAGAATTTGGTCTACCAGGCTGTTGCTTGGAGCGGCCCGCAGGCCGCTCACAGCCCACCACAGCCCGGTTGGTCCGGCACTCCTTGGAGGAAAATGTCTAGTTTTCTCTCAAAGATGTCCACGGTTGTTCCGGCAATATTTCTTATGCTCGCTGGGAGGACGTTGAACAACCGTGGACCTCTGATGTTTATACAGTGCTCTCTGATTGTGCCTACGGCACCTCTGCTCTTCACTGGTTCTATTCTGCATTTTCTTCCATATCGTTCACTCCAGTATGTTGTTATTTTACTGTGTAGATTTGGGACCTGTCCCTCCAGTATTTTCCATGTGTATATTATTTGGTATCTCTCTCGACGGTAGAGCGACGGTCTCGCTTCATGCAGGTCGGCGTTCAATCCCCGACTGTCCAAATGGTCGGGCAACATTCCTTTCCCCCCTTCCTATCCAAATCCTTATCCTGATCCCTTCCAAGTGCTATAAAGTCGTAATGTCTTGGCGCTTTCCCCTGATACTCACTCTCTCGTCTCCTTTCTAGTAAGTACATTTGGAGAGCTTTGAGACGATCCCAATAATTTAGGTGCTTTATCGCGTCTGTATGCCGTATATGTTCTCTGTACTCCCTCTATTTCTGCAATCTCTCCTGCTCTAGGGAGGGGAAAATGAGTACTGAGCAGTACTCAAGACGGGACAACACAAGTGATTTGAAGAGTACAACCATTATGATGGGATCCCTGGATTTGAAAGTTCTCGTAATCCATACTAGCATTTTTTCTGGCTGACGCAATATTTGCTCCCTAAACGTTGGGTCGTCAGACATCATTATTCTCAAATCCTTTTCATGTTCCTTTCCTACTATGAGCAAATTTGATTACGTTTTGTACCCTGTATTATGTTTAAGGTTCTCATTTTTACCGTATCTGAGTACCTGGAATTTATTGCTGTTAAACATCATGTTATTTTCTGCTGCCCAATCGAAAACTTTATTAATATCTGCTTGTAGTTTTTCAGTGTCTTCAGTAGAGGTAATTTTCATGCTGATTTTTGTGTCATCAGCAGAGGATGATACGAAGCTGGGCCTTGTATTTGAGCCTATATCTGATATAACAATAAGGAAAAGCAGTGGTGCAAGAACAATACTCTGAGGTACAGAGCTTTTAACTGCAATTGGACTTGATTTTATATGATTGACTGTTACTCTCTGTGTTCTGTTCGACAGAAAACTGAGTATCCAGCGTCCTACTTTACCAGTCATTCCCAATGACCTCATTTTGTGTGCTATCACTCCAGGGTCACATTTATCGAATTCCTTTGCAAAGTCCGTGTATATCACATCTGCATTCTGTTTTTCTTCTAATGCCTCAGTGATTTTGTCGTAGTGATCAATTAGCTGTGAGAAGCATGATCTTCCGGCTCTAAATCCATGTTGGCCTGGATTGTGGAGGTCATTGGTCTCCATGTCAGACGTCTGCAGGAGCTGAAGGAGGCATTTGAGCAGAATTCTATGTTGAGTTTCACTTACAAGATGGAGAAGGATGGGAAGCTGCCCTTTCTAGATGTAACAGTCACGGAAAGGAGCGGAGGCTTCCACACTGCAGTCTACACTAAGGAAACAAACATAGGAATGGGCCTCAATGCCAATAGTGACTGCCCAGACAGGTACAAGAGGAGTGTTGTCAACGCTTACGTCGACCGTGCTCTCAGCCACAGCTCAGGATGGAAGCAAGTCGATGAAAAACTCTGTAGGGTAAGGCAGGTCCTAGTCAACCACGGCTTCTCTAATGGTTTTGTTGAAGACATCATAATAAGAAAGGTAAAACGCTATGCAACCTCTGAAGAGTCAACTAACACAACACCTATACCCCCTATTGGACTATTTTACAGGAACTTCTTTTCCACAGCTCATAAAATGAAGGAAAGGGTCCTAAAAGATATTGTTGATAGGAACGTTATCCCTACAGACAAAAATCAGAAAATACAATTGACGATTTACTATAAAACCAAGAAAACGGCCAGCCTACTCATGAGAAACTCTCCAGACACAAAGCAGAACGCTTTAAAAGAGACCAATGTCGTCTATGCCTTCAAATGCCCACTTGGGGACTGTAAGCCTCAAAGAACTTAGTATATAGGCAAGACAACAACATCTCTTTCCAGGCGATTAACGATGCATAAGCAACAGGGCTCCATTAAGGAACATATAATCTCCTCTTACAACCAGACCATCACCAGAGAAATCTTAACAAACGACACAGAAATCATCGATAGTTACAGCGATAGCAGGCCGCTCGACATCTGCGAGGCACTACACATTAAGAAGTCAACACCAGCAATCAACAGCCAATTAATGCACAATTCTACCCACTTCAAGACCCCGAACCAATATAGAAGCATCAAGAGGAAGTATGGACCAATAGGCCCTCTGCAGTTTTTCCATTTTTTTGTTCTCATATCCAAATAATACCCATAGTTTCGTGTTTTGTCTTGTGTTTGTCACAAGTTTATTCACCACATCCAAAACTGTTGTACCATATCACCTCACCAAAATGCGAGTATATGTATGGACAAACTTGCGTGTTTACACACACACACACATTCAGCACCGCTCCTGTGCCAGGTAAGTCCACTACCGGCTCACCATATCCCGTGCTACTTGCCCCGCTCCTGTGCCAGGTAAGTTACGGGCTCACCATAGCCCGTGCTACTTTGAACTTGTTCCGAGTAGCTGAATCTATAACAACAACAACAGCGTGTTTAGAGGTTACAGTTGTGTGTGTAAACTAAAGTCTTTGAAAATGTAATAAGTTATTACGAAACGCGATCAGGCGTCGCGTCAGACTAGAAATAAAAATGAATTTTAGAGAATTGATTTTTCAATTACCATCGACAATAAAAAGAAACATAAGAAATATTGAGAAAATTCGTGTTAGAATTATTAATCTTACCTTTTCGGTCATATACTAACAACATATGTTTATATATATATATATAAGCAAAAACTCCACGCCACTGTAGGATGCGAACCTAGAAAAGGTTCCATGAACCGCAGCGTATCAGGTACTGTACCAACGAGACCATACTGACTACAAAACAGGTTGGAAATCGTGAAACATTTAACCCAACCTCCAGACAGTACTCCTTGGTACAGTTATTTCAACGAATCACCTCACTGTTGGGGCCACGTGAGGAACACAAGTGGGAAGAAGCATGAATGGTCCCCGGGCCAATATGCAACAGAAAACTCCTCACCCCTTGAAGGGTTCAGACCCGGGTAGCCAACAGGGCTCCATCAATCTCAGCGTATTAAGTACTATACAAACTATAGTATAGTTGGTATAGTACTATACCATGCAATATGCAACAGAGTTTTCAGATACATATAGGCTTGGGGACCATTCAAGCTTCTTCGCATTTGTGTTACTCACGAAACCCCATTTTCATAGCTGTTCATTAAGACCACAACGACAGCTAAATTGATCAATCAGAATGAATACTTTAGTACAGCAATAATCAATAATAACATAATACTTTGATCATAACTTCCGTGAACTGAGAGAACTAAATAAAAAAAAACAGGTACCTCACCTGATCAATCAGAGCTGTTGTTGTGGTCATCAGCTGTGTTTACACTGTGGCTTAGTGTTTCTTACTATGGCCGCGAGAGGGCAGTAAGCCTCGCATGTCGGGATTGGCTGTTGATAATGACGTCATGTCTCAAAATCAGTGATTTTCTGTTAATGATGACGTCATATCTTCCAGGCTGTGATTGGCTATGAGTGACAACTTGCCATTCAAGGCGAGATTGGCTGCTAATAACGACGTTATGACTGACTGTTGGTAATGACGTGATGGTTCAGAAGCCGGGATTGGCTGTTGATAATGACGTCACGCCCAGCAAGCTGTGAGTGGCTGCTGATAACGACAATGAGTGCACCAACCTAGACAAACTCATCTAACCAAAGGACTATTGCGCATCGGCCTTTAATACATTAAGGGGATTGGTGTCGGTTCGTACTCTTCTGGCTAGAAAAAAAGTCACTTGAAATTAGAAACGCACAAATTACGGGAATGTAGTTATAGTAAACCATCTCGTTTTGAAGGTTGGAGCCCATAGTTAATATTGGAAAGCACAAAGTGTTGTGTTGTGTTGGTCAGATTATACAGTAAACTTAACTCCTATCAACCTCTGGAGGGTCACTCAGGCCACCACAATTAAGAGCACACTGACCATCCTGCAGCAAGTATGCTGTAGTCCAAGACAGTGGTCAAGGATAAAGTAAACTATGATGAACATACACAGAGAAGCCAGGTACACTTCTCATGTCATCAGAGTAGGTTAATTATAGTTATTATTTCTTGCCCGTTATTGCAACGTCGCCAGGCTCGGTCGGTTAGTGACGCGGCCGCCGCATTTATGCTTGAAATTATTAGTAGATGGACTATGCAAGTTTTCTTGTGCCGATGTCCTCTTCCGTTCCTTTCACAATGAACGAGATCCGTCTCCGGTCTCCAGACAGCATGGCCGTGGGTCAGCTTGTCAAGAGTTGTGAAATCTACATTATTGTCAAACAGGATTCGTACAACATGCTTCATTAGGGAAAGCTTTGTGTCAACGACCTTAATTACGCACTACATCCGGCCGATATATATATATAGCTGCCGTCAGCAAGACGTGAGTCACTGGTAGTATGTTTAACACTGCGAGGGTCATGCTCTTGACGCCTCACATCATCTACACTTCACTCTTTACAATCAAAACAACACGACCAAAATCCTTTTAATTGCGAACTTTTTTTCAGATTTTTGCAACGTGGCCAATGACATAATATTATTTTCAACAGAGGAAAAAATAGCACATTGCGTGGGTGGCAAGGCTATACGGCTTGAACAGAGGAGGCTACTCTCAAGGTATGCGGGCTCCCTCCAGCACCACACCTGTGGCTGACAGCTGTCACACCTGCTGCTGACAGCTGTCACACCTGTGGCTGACAGCTGTCACACCTGTTGCTCACATCTGTCACACCTGTGGCTGACAGCTGTCGTTGGGAGCGGAATATTACAACACTCGTCAGTGAACTACCTGTGGTTGCGTCATCAGGGTCTTGCGTCATCAGGGTCTTGCGTCCAGCATCACAGCAGCTGCCACTGTATAGCGGTCAGCCTCGCAAGCACATCTAGGTGAGCACACACCTCATTTAAAAGCAATGCTCTATTCGCAGTATTTAAAGAAGCATAAGAAAATCTGAATAGAACAGGTTAAGGAAAGTTCAGTACACAATTAACCGCCTGGGCGTGTTATACATGGATGAACAAATCCACAAGGGCCGTGACGAGGATTCGAACCTGCGTCCGGGAGCATCCCAGACACTGCCTTAATCGGCTGAGTGTCTGGGATGCTCCCGGACGCAGGTTCGAATCCTCGTCACGGCCCTTGTGAATTTGTTCATTTGATGCATCACGTTATCTGTGTGTTTACATGGATTAATAAATTACGTAATTTACAACTATTTTAAAAAGTTTGAGCTGTCTTGCTGTATCGTATCGGAAATTAGAGAAAGAAAAGGAGAAACCTCATAGGATGAAGGAGGTAGAGAGGTGGGAGGTGTGAGGAAGAACTTCAGGGGAAACGGAAAGTTTAGAATGAGAGAGAAAGGAAGAAAGTAAAAGAGTAGAAAGTAATGACACCATCTATTCAATAGTTAATTATATGACAAGGAAGGAATGGATTTTTTTTTTTTTGCAGGGATATTCCTGCGCGGGGCCTAAGCCTCTGGCTGGCCCACTAAGTGTTGCTTGTTTCTGTTTTACTTGGGCGGAGTATGAGTATTTATGACTCGTATGGTCGCTTCAGTAAGATTTTGTCCCATGTGTTTAACAACTTCTTCTGCTCTGTTGAATCTTAGTTGAAATCTTAATGGGTTTGTGACCCTGCACTGTGTTAGATAATGTTCCAATGGTCTGTTGTGGTTGTAACTGTGCACTGCGTTAAATAATATTCCAGTGGTCTGTCGGGCATTTCTCTACAGTTACCTTGAGGTTACCTTGAGGTGCTTCCTGGGCTTAGCGTCCCCGCGGCCCGGTCGTCGACACACTGTTGACATTTCCTCTCATCTTCCGGAACCTGTAAGCCTATTTCCCATGCACATGGGTATCCAAGCCTGATGCGATGGTAGTGTACTTCTGTTGCTCTACTGCTCCCTTTCATCAAACTAAGTGGTTCGGTGATGGTTGAATTCTTGTACCAACCCGCAGATCCTGATGTTGCAACTGTTGTGTTGTGGTCAATGTACATCTTTTGCATTGCTCTGTTTCTAATTACTTTCTTAATCTGTAATAGACTCTGTGGTATGTAAATGTCTACATCTCTTCTCTTAGTTGAAAATTTTGCAGCTTCGTCTGCAACGTCATTTCCTATTATTCCCACATGACTTGGCACCCAGTTGATAAGTACCCGACGGCCTTGACGTTTGAGTGTTTGCATTAATGATATGACATTTGTGATCAGATGGATGTTATCACGTATGTGTTCTTGTTGCAAGGTTTCAATGGCAGTTCTAGAATCTGTATGATAACATGTTGTCGGTGTTCAGCAAAAACATGTTCCAAAGCCTTTTGAATGGCTAGCATCTGTCTGTAAAGTTGAACACCCATTTGAGAGTCTCCAACTATTTACAGAGTTTCCTGCTTTAACTGCAGCTCCGCTGCTAGTCTACTGATCCATCTGTGAAGTAAGTAAAGCTGTCAGATGGCAAGTTTGCTTCTATATACATCTGTGCAATATTACGTAGCAGATGAGGATTAGTCTGGTTCTTTTTTCCTTCAAGAGCCATAATCTTAAAGTCTGCTGGCAGCGATTCCCAAGAGGCTTGCATAACAAAGTCTTAAAGACCATTTAAAAAGAAAGTTAATCATTTATATATTTACTATTATGGGTATCATAATTCAACCACTTCACTTGATGTTCAAATATCAACATTAATTCAGAATAAGAGTCACCACACAAGAAATTGAGAACAACTACGGCTGACTTCCCCCGCAAATCATTCACCACTTAAATATAAAAATACACTATACATCTACCTTAGAAGTTCACTCACCAAACTCTCTAAGTATAAAATAGTAGAGTGGGGGGGGCTGACAGACAGTCCCCACCTGGCCTCAGCTGCTGGAACCTCTCTGGTGTAGCGAGGCCTCTGTCTCTCTGTATTTAGCTGTGTCTAAGGTACAGTTCCGCGAGTATTTAAGGGAAACCGGGAGCTAAACCTCGCCTACCAGGAGATAGCCTCCGGTTATCTTCCAGCCCCACCTCCCCCGGTGGAGGCGGAAACAAATGGGCAAAATGTTTCTTTCATCCTGATGCCCCTGCTACCTAGCAGTAAATAGGTACCTGGGAGTTAGACAGCTGCTACGGGTTGCTTCCTTGGGGGGGGGGGATAACAAAAAATGGAGGCCTGGTCGAGGACTGGGCCGCGGAGACGCTAAGCCCCGAAATCATCTCAAGATAACCTCAAGATAACAACCTAGACAGCGGCTTGTTTGATGGAAACAACACAGCCACCCGTCTGAATTATCAGCTGAGCAGACAGTGAGGTCAATTGATGTGACCTGACCTCTTCTCAACGTGTGAACAATTAACACTAGAAAAGGTGTTACTTTTGAATTGCTAAACTGCCTGGCGCCACCATAATCCTGTGTGACTGGCTCGTTGTATGTGAAATATTAAATAAAACCATTTATGGTGTTAAATTGCTATTTTTTTTTTTTTGTACGATGCAATCAAAATATATTTCGTCACCCGCGATGCAATATTCACAGTACATACAATACATTTTCCTGCAGAAGTAGAAATACAACATCAAAGTGGTGGTTGCAACGGTCACAGCTTCATTTATTCCACAGGTAAAAATTATCACAAGAAAATAACATAGCCCCCTTTCCTAAACTTTCCATCCTGTTTCCTTGGCAACGCGTGTAAACAACAGCTGATGGTTTCCATGACGACCTAAATTCACATATGATGTTGTCAGCCGCCATGTTCAGTGTTCCCATGGCAACGTTTGTAAACAACAGGTGATGGTCTCCATGACAATCCGAGCCACCCGCCAGTCTCGCCAGCATGTCCAAGAACACCACATACAAGGGCTACTCCAAGCTTGCTGAGAAAATAGCCAAAAATACGCATTGTAAGCGATAGTCCTAACATTTTCACTCTCTTTAACACTGAGAATTTTAACTAAAGATATATATATATATATATATATATATATATATATATATATATATATATATATATATATATATATATATATATATATATATATATATATATATACAACTTTAGAACACTTTCCCACCAGGAGACTCGAACCCTAGCCAGCACAGAAGCCTTCCAGCAACTGGCATAACAGGTACGCCTTAACCCGCTCCACCACCTGCTCAGACCCTTAAAAGAGATGGTAATTTCGGAGTATTTAAATACATCAAAGATCACCACCTCCCAAGAGCACTAGAGCAAGTGAGGGGTCATTTATACGTTTATTTCATCAAGTCCCTGTTAATATGGGAAGACACAGTGTCTATGCTTAAGGCACAACTCTCCTAAACACGAGAGTGAAGTATACAACTTTAGAACACTTTCCCACCAGGAGACTCGAACCCTAGCCAGCACAGAAGCCTTCCAGCAACTGGCATAACAGGTATGCCTTAACCCGCTCCACCACCTGCTCAGACCCTTAAAAGAGATGGTAATTTCGGAGTATTTAAATACATCAAAGATCACCACCTCCCAAGAGCACTAGAGCAAGTGAGGGGTCATTTATACGTTTATTTCATCAAGTCCCTGTTAATATGGGAAGACACAGTGTCTATGCTTAAGGCACAACTCTCCTAAACACGAGAGTGAAGTATACAACTTTAGAACACTTTCCCACCAGGAGACTCGAACCCTAGCCAGCACAGAAGCCTTCCAGCAACTGGCATAACAGGTATGCCTTAACCCGCTCCACCACCTGCTCAGACCCTTAAAACCCATATATATATATGGTAACTCAGACCCATATATATATATATATATATATATATATATATATATATATATGTCGTACCTAGTAGCCAGAACACACTTCTCAGCCTACTATGCAAGGCCCAATTTGCCTAATAAGCCAAGTTTTCATGAATTAATGTTTTTTCGACTACCTAACCTACCTAACCTAACCTAGCTTTTTCGGCTACCTAACCAAACCTAACCTATAGAAATAGGTTAGGTTAGGTTAGGTAGGGTTGGTTAGGTTCGGTCATATATCTACGTTAATTTTAACTCCAATAAACAAAAATTGACCTCATACATAATGAAATGGGTAGCATTATCATTTCATAAGAAAAAAATTAGAGAAAATATATTCAGTAAAACTTGGCTTATTAGGCAAATCGGGCCTTGCATAGTAGGCTGAGAAGTGCGTTCTGGCTAGTAGGTACGACATATATATATATATATATATATATATATATATATATATATATATATATATATATATATATATATATATATATATATATATATATGTCGTACCTAGTAGCCAGAACTCACTTTTCAGCCTACAATGCAAGGCCCGATTTGCCTAATAAGCCAAGTTTTCATGAATTAATATATTTTCTCTAATTTTTTTCTTATGAAATGATAAAGCAACCCATATCATTATGTAAGAGGTCAATTTTTTTTATTGGAGTTAAAATTAACGTAGATATATGACCGAACCTAACCAACCCTACCTAACCTAACCTAACCTATCTTTATAGGTTAGGTTTGGTTAGGTAGCCGAAAAAGTTAGGTTAGGTTAGGTTAGGTAGGTTAGGTAGTCGAAAAGCAATTAATTCATGAAAACTTGGCTTATTAGGCAAATCGGGCCTTGCATAGTAGGCTCAGAAGTGAGTTCTGGCTACTAGGTACGACATATATATATATATATATATATATATATATATATATATATATATATATATATATATATATATATATATATATATATGTCGTACCTAGTAGCCAGAACTCTCTTCTCAGCCTACTATTCAAGGCCCGATTTGCCTAATAAGCCAAGTTTTCCTGAATTAATATATTTACTATAGTTTTTTTTCTTATGAAATGATAAAGCAACCCTTTTCTCTATGTATGAGGTCAATTTTTTTTTATTGGAGTTAAAATTAACGTAGATATATGACCGAACCTAACCACCCTACCTAACCTAACCTAACCTATATTTATAGGTAAGGTTAGGTTAGGTAGCCAAAAAAAGCTAGGTTAGGTTAGGTTAGGTAGGTTAGGTAGACGAAAAAACATTAATTCATGAAAACTTGGCTTATTAGGCAAATCGGGCCTTGAATAGTAGGCTGAGAAGTGCGTTCTGGCTATTAGGTACGACATACATATATATATATATATATATATATATATATATATATATATATATATATATATATATATATATATATATATATATATATATATATATATATATATATATATATATATATATACGACATATATATATATATATATATATATATATATATATGGACCTAATAATGTAAGTATAAGAACAACACTACAGGATGAACAATGTATGCATGTCTAAAAACATCATTACAGGAAGAACAATGTATACAGGTATAAGAAGAACAGGAAGAACAATGAGTACTGGTGTAGAATCAAAAGCAGCCAGTGTGTATTACAGATCAAGAAGACAAATATATATACTGCATACATAATATTATTGAGAGTGCTACTATATCACTTTTTTGCACATTTTTAATGTTAGCAATATTGTTTGTTGTAAACTAACATTTTATGTCATACTGAATAATGCATGATGGTAAACCTAACTGTTGGGCATTACCATCTTTTTTCCTAGTTACCTGTGAGGAAGTGGACGCTCTGCTGACCTTACATGACCCCTCTGGCACTTCCCCTCGTATGGACGGTAACAGGTCAGGTGTTTGCTCTTTCCCACCACTTATTTGATATATATATATATATATATATATATATATATATATATATATATATATATATATATATATATATATATAGATATATCTTATAATTGTCCTCTCTTCATTCCTCTGCCTCTCTATCACCAATTTGCCCATTGTACGTGATTTCCTCATGTGGTCACATACCCAGTACATCACAAAAAATAATACATTTGTGTTCTAATACATACACACCACCACCTACAGGACTATCCACTCAGTTTAATTCCACAATTGATTGCTGCCGCCGAAGGCGGCTAGTTTATTGTGCACCCCATACTCATCCTGTGAGCGGTAGCGCAAAAGCATTACAGAGGGCACAAAAGGTCTTTATCAGACCTCATCTTAGATTATTACATAAACAATTTCTTCAATCCTTCACACCTTATAGTTACAATGTCAGCTAGTTACAGAGAAAGTGCTATTACAAGAGCTACATATTTACAGTAAGTCATCATACATTAATGGTAGGTCTTGTCGTTAATACATAATAGTTTGGCCAATGGGGATATTACAGAGTCATAGGGGAGCTTCTGTTTATTATTAGTCCTCACAATACACTACTTGTTTCTGAATCTCATATGTCGTTCATCTACTGTAAGCAAAATGTGGGTACAGTGCAAGGATTTCAGGTAATTTATCCATGGTAATAAGATAGGTTGCCATATCATACAGAGTGAGCTTAGATTTATCTCTAAAAGGCTCAATTTTACAACAATCCAAGATATAGTGTTCGAGTGTGTGTCCCTGCCTATGTCCACACACTTTACACTTTACTTCATCTAGATCCCTATACAAGCCGAACTGCCAGAGATACTTGTAGCCAAGTCTTATACGAGCTGTGACAACATCTGTTAGTCTACTGAATTTGTTACTTGCCCCATACACATGTTTTACTTCACACATTTCATTGTGATGAACAATGGACCTGCTAGTTCCAGTTTGCACTGTTCTACTTTCTTCAAATCCATCTTGGAGTTCTCGTCTAATGACACTTTTAAGGGACCTATTTGATAACTCAAGATTCCATTCAATACTGTCTTTATTTACTGCAGCCTTAGCAAGGGCGTCAACTTTGTCATGTTCCTGCATGCCAATGTGAGAAGGAATCCAAAACATTTTTATATTCCACAATGAGCCACAAAAATCATCTGTTCACATAAGAAGAACCTCTCTCTCTCTCTCTCTCTCTCTCTCTCTCTCTCTCCTCTCTCTCTCTCTCTCTCTCTCTCTCTCTCTCTCTCTCTCTCTCTCTCTCTCTCTCTCTCTCTCTCTCTCTCTCTCTCTCTCTCTCTCTCTCTCTCTCTCTCTCTCTCTCTCTCTCTCTCTCTCTCTCTCTCTCTCTCTCTCTCTCTCTCGTTCTCTCTCTCTCTCTCTCTCTCTCTCTCTCTCTCTCTCTCTCTCTCTCTCTCTCTCTCTCTCTCTCTCTCTCTCTCTCTCTCTCTCTCTCTCTTCTTGATAGGGTTCTGGGAGTTCTTCTACGATTTGTGAGAGCTTGGTCCAACAGGCTGTTGCTTGGAGCGGCCCGCAGGCCCACATATCCACCACAACTCGGTTCTTCCGGCACTTCTTAAAGAAAATTAGTTTTCTCTCGAAGATGTCCACGGTTGTTTCGGCAATATTTCTTATACTCACTGGGAGGATGTTGAACAATCGTGGACCTCTGATGTTCATACAGTGTTCTCTGATTGTGCCTATGGCACCCCTGCTCTTACTTCACTTCACTTCTCTCCCTCTCACTTACTTTTCTTCTTCAGGTTCCGGGACATCATGCATGGCATCTTCGGAATGACAGACGAGGGTCTGATGGAGGCAATGTACCAGGTGTACGACATGGATCAAGACGGTGTGGTGGGACCAGAGGAGTTTGTTGTGGGCATGTCTGTCTTCCTGCGTGGCTCTCTTGATGAGAAGATTGACTGTATGTGAGAGGTGATAGGAGGGGCATGTTCTCTTCCTGTCTGTCTTGCGATGAGTGGTCCTCCGAGACTATATTAACTAGCACTGATGATGCTATTACCAATGATAACCTGTTTACAATATTTTTGTCTTTACTTAGGTCTATATACATTTATCGTCGTGGTTCTGGTCAAAACTTTTCTTTCTGACACATCGACCTTAAGCGTGTTCCCAAATGTCCATATCAGGACACAAATGATTGGATTTTTTCAGATTAATAATTCAAAAGGTCAAGGCAGCGGTTAGAAAAAGCATTTGTATTACCCTGCAGTGCCCTAATTAGAGCAAAAGAGTATCATAATTAATAGAATTTTATTCAGTACTGTACTATGATTTACTCATTTTACTTACCATGCACTGTACTTTATTAATAAAATTAGAAAATAATATACAACAATAATAATAATAATAATAATAATAATAATAATAATAATAATAATATTTTTTTATTATGCACAGTATTTGCAAAATATGATATGTGATGAACATCATTATTAATCGTTTTTCTGGCATCATTTAAAGAATATATCACGCAACAAATTATTTATTTGAACTCCTATAACCCAACAAATCAACAAGAACCTTATCCATATCCAGTAATTCCTGGTAGTTTCATTTTAGGGAACTCTACTACGGTATCTCTGTTAATGCTCACATCTTCACATACTTTTTGTTCAATCCTTCGTGTTGTTCTTCCCCCAGACTGCTTCAGCGTGTACGACCACAACAGCGACGGCTTTGTCTCTCGAGACGAGATGTTTCATCACCTTAAATCCGCCGTCGTCAACCTACCTCCTGGAGAGGAACTCGACGAGGTCATCAAAGATTTGGTTGGTCTGTAACACCCCTATAACCCACAAACTATGAACAATTTAAATAATGTATGTTAGCAATTAGCATCTAACAAAACCATCCAGCTCTGGACCTCCTAAGCATTATCTGTCTGAAAGATTGGGTTTGGTTTTGGGCTTACAGCCTATCAACTGCAGGAGGAACAAGATGCCACCAAAATTGCTTACTGACCTACTAGCATGTTTACTTTAATCCTTAACATAGGACTAAAAGTAAACTCAATGAATATACAGAGAAAATACTTGTGTTTATTTCCATTTAAAAAGTGGCATTATACACAGGAATACAAAAAATATATTTATGTAGTTGTAGAAGGTCTATTGATCAATGTGATACAGCTTCTATGTACATCCACCCAAACTCTTATGTATGTCTAAATAATCTAGCAATCCCGCTTCAACTATTTTACCAAGAGATTTGTTCCATAAATCAATAACCCTGTTTCCAAACCAGTACCTAGCCAGGTTTTCCCTTAACATTTTCAATATACTGTATATCCAGTTTCAAGTTCTATTCTCTACTAACATGTATAAAATCCATTTTTTATATATTCCCTTTGTTATAGTCTTCTATCCATCACATACTTCAGTCATGTCACCCCCTTAATCTTCAGCTCAGAAGAATGCAAACCAACCTTTCCCAAACTCTCTCCATAAGGGAGGCTTGGAACTCCCAGGACTAACCCAGTCATCCCTCCCAGTACGCACCAGAGTGAGTCCATGTCTGCTCTATAGTACGGAGACCAAAGATCAACTGCACAATTTAGGACTACTGTACCATAATTTGAAAAAAATAGTCTCATGGAATCACAAAGATAATGTCATGGTGGTTCGACTTAAAACTTAATATCTACTCATTACGCTGAATTGCAATAGTGATGCATAAATTGACTGAACTGTGCCCAAAAAATTGTGAATAATAGTTTAATAGGATGGCTAGCAAAGGACATCAGTGAGGAAAATTACCTTCATGAACCCCACAACTGGTTGAAGGACTTGCAAATACTTTCTAATATACAGAACTCATATTGGAAACAACCATCCTTGGCACATTCATTCATTTGCCTTATTTTGTTACATTAAAGCGTCCTAGAAAGTACAGTGCATTAATTCATTAAGAGTAGCTTATGGAGGTCCCTCTAGGCCAAAAATCGACTTTCCCAAGAGTGCAACCCACAACAGTCTACTAACTCCCATGCGTCTATTTATACCAGGAATATATCTTGATCCTCTCTACAAGATGCATAATGCAACATTGGAGTCACTTTAAGCTTGACATCTTGCTGAACTGGTAACTGGAAGCTCATCTCAACAGTTAACTGAGCAAAGTTTTCAGGAAGACCATGTATACAATGTATATACAGTATTGTGTGTTATTTATTATAAGGTCACTGGATATGGGGGGTTGTCAGGTATATATATTAAAACTCATTCAACTTTCCTCTATAGCAGCTCGCAAATAATATGCTAGAAGGCTAAAGTTCCAAATATCTCTATAGACACGATAGGTAAATGATATAACTGTACTTAATAAACCCATATTTTAAACGCTATGCAAAACATGTATTTTGCAAGCACGACACATTTAAATGATACAGATGGTGTTGTTTAATAGTGAAAATCTGTTTTTATAAACTGTTCTTGTCCAGTGTTTTTTTCACTGAGCTTGCAGTTTTTTTTTATGTCAAACAGACTTGGTATGTCGTAAATTGGATATAGATCATGATGGGCGTGTCAGTTTTAGTGATTATGCCACAGCTGTTCATGCAGAGCCTCTCCTGCTGGAGGTGTTTGGCCCCGTTCTTCCCGACATTCAAGTAAGTCATACTCTGTTTTAAGCTTGACACCTCCCACTTTGACATGTTACTTACTTTGGTCCTTTGTTCAAAATTGAGATGACCTGCATAACAGCATGCGCTGTGTATATTGAATTAAAATACTCCTACTCAAATGACAATTTCTCATTAGGCCTATTATGGCAATCTTGCTCTACTTATTTCATGAAGTGTGTATTGAGTAAGGAAGTTTGCAAGACCTTTAAATTTAATTTTCTATTTATTCCCAAATGAAAGATTAGCATATATTTTTCCGTATAATTTTTTTTAATAAAAACATTACAGTAGGAAGATAAAAATTGGCATAAATGCTAATGATTTTGCCTATACAGGAGCGAGAGACGTTTCTGAACACATTCCTGGACAAATATGGCCTTCGTTCCCAACAGCTGTAAGAGGAAACAAAATGTGAATATTCACCAAGTTTCACCTATGGCAATAACTGAAAAAATTACCACAAGTAATTGTCACTGTAGAGTAGTTGAAAGATGAAATACTGTTCAATATTCAGATGTTAAGTTTGTGGCCATATCAAGGAACTCGTGCTAAATTGCAATTTTACGGTCAACAGTTAAGTTAGTAACTGTCAAAAGAACTCACCAAACTGGGAAGACCATGTAGCTCCAACAATGGTTGTCAATGTGTATCCAAGAAAATATTTATAAACTTAATTTGATCTTATTACAGATGCAAGCATTGTTGCATTGCTATTCTTTATCATAAAAATGTGCTTAGATGACCTGTAAAGCTTTACAATATTTTAATGTTAAATGTTAAAATTTTGACCCACGATTATACTGGAAATAGAACCAGTATTTACTTTTGTGTTATTATTTAATATTAAACTATTTGTATGTCTTCTTTATCATATTATAGTTATTTGTGAGATAACTTTTAAAGAACACAGTATATAAAACTGCTTTTAGTGTGCCTTGGGAATCAAACACCAAGTTAACAAATATGGTGGTGGCTGTGATAATTACAGCAGTGTTGTGGTAGTTGTGATAGTTGTCTAAGAGAAAATAGTGAGAGGGAGTAGAGGAAGATGGGGGGAGGGACAGCCTTTAATTTAAGAAAACAGAATAAGAAGACATTGGTGGAAGTCGGAAATACAACCGAGTTAAAGAAACTGAGGAGGCATTAGATCTTTTCAACAGATGCCAGCTTTAAGAATTAATCTATACTAACTGTACGAAGTTCTCAAGGTAATATCACAATTTTAAAGCTAAAAAAAACAAAAGTCAAGTTACTTGCAGTACCGTATACTAGATTAGTAGTCTGCTGACATTGGTGCACCCTGAAATGCAACCAGCTTAACACACTGGGATTGTGGATATGAAAATTATCCAATTAATGTTCTAGTGTATGGACAGAAAGAATGAACATGACAATCTTCAGATAAGGCAATTGCAAAAGGAAATTTTAATTCGACATGTCAGCACCTGCAGGACTGTCCAAGCTAATTTAGACGTTTATTTTATCTGATGTATATAGCACAAATTTTAAATTTATAAATTACCACAAATGTAGATTTAGTCTAGTGTGACAGTTGCTTCATAGAATGCAGGGGAAGGGATGGCAGTTGGGTGAAAATTGCCCGGTTGTCTCAACCTACAAACACAAAGGAAACTGCAGATATCCTATTGCCCCATACAAGGCAACTCCTATCTCTATCCACCCAAATTATTACCATCTAACCTTCTCTTGTAACAATCCAGTGATCCCATGTCTAGTGTTACCCAATAATTTCTTTCATAGAGCAACAACCCTATTTTCAAACCAGTATCTACCCAGGGCTTTCCCCCGAGTCTAAGCTACTACAATTTGTATTCGTTGTTTCCAGTTCTATTGTGTATTTATATATTTAAATCTGTTTATATTCCACATGTTGCATCCCTTTTCCATTTATGTACTTTAACCAAGTATTCCCCCTTGTTCTTCTTGCCCACATTATTTTTAACAAGTGGATCAAATGGCACACACTACAGTATTGAGGTATTTTAGAGATTTATCTGGATAATGAGTACCAGTTGTGACGATAATCTCCTTCAAGAGATTGAGCCTGCTCTTCCCTCCAAAATTACGTCTTCACAATTATATAAAAAGACTATGGAAGAAATGTCCAACAACGACAACAACACCAGCACCAGCAAGGCTTGCCAGGGTGAGCAGAAACGTATGCATCCAGCCACCTGTTCGAACTCCAACCACCAAACTACCCGTTGATCGCTACGGCTCCGCTGATTGGTCGCCGGTCTGGCTGCACCTGCACTCGCCCCCAATACTACCTGATGTCTGGGGTCGCCCCAACATCAGTCCTCAGAATGTTCCGTGCTTTCGTAGCCAGCACTCCTCCCAGCTAGACGTTAGCGTGTACTGAGAGAGGTGGTGGCTTTAAGCCAATATTCCAGCACCTCCCACTTAACTGTTGTATTGCACTTCTTGTTATTTTGCCTTAACGTAACTTTTCATTGTGTCATTTAAGTATTCTTATTATTTTGATTGATTGATTTTATTATACATATTTGTTTGTGCATTATTTTCATGTTTTGATTTATTTAACGTAATTAAAATTTCATTGTTAAAGTTTACTTGTGTTTTGTGTGTCTTCTCCTTACCTTACCACAGACGAAGTTCCAGTTTTTCTATTTTTTTTTATAACTATGTGACGAGGCCATACCCCTAGCCTTAAACAGCCGAACACCAACGCGTAACCGTCACAAGTTATATGGGGGCCTGTCCTAGGAGCTTCACTCAGGTACTGGTGACAAGTGGTAATTTATGGTAAGCGTATTTAACTTTGTTAACGTAGCTTTACTATTTTTCATTCAATTTCATTTTTTATAAGGTGCGGTGTATTGTGCATTACGAGAATAACATATAGTGAAGGTGAGACAACTTTGGATTACGTGGTGACTGTAGGCCGCAGTCATACTCTTAATTGGTCATCTCTCCCTCCTTGTTATTACTCGTATTTACCATCTATGTCCCTTGAATATTTCTCATTCTGACAGATCATCATATTGGTACCCTGGTACTGTGGTCTGCCCCGGGTCAAGAGTACCCAATCTTCTGCAATCTGACTGTAGGAGGACAAAGAGGGCCATAGTTCCTCTAGCTCGAACTTTAGTTGCTGAATTGGGACCTCAGCAGCAGTTCTCGTCACAAGTTGACACCTCGCACCCCTACACGTCAGTCAGAGATGATGATACATACAACGGTAGGGAATTAGCTTATTTTTTCAGAGCACAAAAGTTCGCTAATTCTGTAAGTATCATATTAAATTCAGTGGGAAAAACTTGCTTTATGTCCTATAGAGACTTGGCAAGGTATGCCCACATCCTTGGACTACCAATTTTACTTTTGAAGCATTTAACTGTTTCATTTGTTTTCGAAACTTTGTTTCATTTGTTAGTAGGATTTTCTTGCCCTTATTCTCTTACATGAGTACCGGGTACAAGATTTCCTGCGCCCTTGATTTAATTTAATCATTTAATATCTTTCACTTAACGTTAATTGTTAAAGATCACACAGGATAGGTGCCAGTTGCCACGTTGTCCTGTTTCTGACATTTCATTATTGAACATTCGTGTACCTTTATTTGCTAATTTCACCATGTTTCGTCTCCAAACTTTCCGTGCAAATCCAGCAGGTGAAATAGGGACTTTAAGTCGTGCCAAGAGGACTGAATTACAAACTCTTGCACATGAGTATCAACTAGAAGTTCCCTACCAAGCCAACAAAAATGACCTACACAACCTGTTGCTGGATTACTATTTAGAGCAAGGTAAGATAGACTCTGAAACTCATGAAACTTACTATATTGCAGATAAAACTGATTTGGCAACGCTGAAACTCAAACTAGAGCTGGCCAAGATTGAACGTGAGCAGCAAAGGGAAGCCCTCGAACAACAAGAACGAGCTGCTGCCATACGAAGGGAAGAACACGAACGCGAAGCCGCTTTGAGGAGAGACGAACAAGAACGCGAAGCTGCTTTGAGGAGAGAAGAACACGAACGTGAGGTCGCATTACTCCGTGAACGTGAAAGAGTACAGCTTGAAACCAAACAACGCGAGTTGGAAATACAACGCGAACATGACAAGCAACAAGCGACTCTGGCTCTAGAGTGTCGTCAACGCGAAATCGCCTTGGAAACTTCACACTTCACTCAACGCCAGCAAGCTACTGCCAATCTTCCCGTCAGTTTTAATATATCACATGCAAGTAAGTTAATGCCATCCTTTGTAGAAGCAGAAGTTGATGTGTTCTTTACCACCTTTGAAACCCTTGCTAATCAACTCAGTTGGCCTGTCGACCAATGGGCAACACTTCTCAGAGTCCATCTTACAGGTAGAGCTGCAGTCACACTCAGTACTTTGGCGTCTGAGAATGACTACTACACTCTGAAACAAGCAGTGTTAGACGCCTACCTACTTTCCACCGAAAGTTATAGAAGGAAATTCCGTGACCACCTGAAGGCAAGTACCACTACCTTCCTCGAGTTTGCTAACACGAAACGGAGGTATTTCATGAAATGGCTGGAAGCAGCACATGTCTCTACTTTTACAGAACTCGTGAACCTGATGCTTGTTGAAGAATTCTTGAGACGTGTGCCGCCTCCTGTCCGCCTCTACTTAGCAGATAAAGAAGAAACCGACTACCTGAAGTGTGCTAAGTCGGCTGACACTTACAGCCTCATCCACCGGCTGACACCTGAACCATCCTCCAGTAAGAAGTCGTGGTACAGTTACGAGAAGGTGAGCCCCGATCAAGCTGGTTCACAACTGTACTGCAAGTATTGTAGACTCTATGGACATACCATAGACAAGTGTGGTAAGTCTCAATACAAGGGAACCACTGACCAACAACGACCCAAACCAACTCCTCCTAAGTCCGGTAAGCCTGTGATGAATGTTGGTGTTGATGTTAATGATCTTTCTCTTTTCAGTAACCACCTGTATACTGGAACTGTCTCTGCCAACGGTTCAAATCCGGAGGGACGTTTCAAATTGAAGATCTTGAGGGACACAGCGGCTCTACAATCGATCATCTTGAAGTCGGCTGTGCCCAACATAGTCTACACCGGGGAAACGGTCTTCATCACTGACCTCACTGCTACTACTCCATACCCTCTCGCCAGAGTCCACCTGGATTGTCCCTACGTGAACGGGGAAGTCCAAGTCGCCGTCAGGGAAAAGCCTTTTCCCATGCCTGGAGTGCAACTTCTCCTAGGCAACGACTTGGCAGAAGACCTGCAACCAACCAACCTGATCGTCATGGACAAACCCCAGGTGTGTAACTCTGTGCCAAGTAACCCTATTCTTGAGTATGTTCCAGCAGAGGTTCAAGAGAGTGATGATGTTTCTCCTCCGGTTCTCGTGACCACCCGTGCACAAGCCGCACGTCCACAGCCAGCTGACTCTACTGCTACCGCTGTCCCTCAAGACCCTCAGAAACTACCCCCGCATCTGACCAAGTTGGAGTTCCGTAAGTTGCAGAGGGAAGATCTTACTTTAACACCATTGTTTTTCCAGGCTGAGACTCAACCCGACAGTATTCCTGGGTTCTTCCTAGAGAACGACTTGCTCTACCGCAGATATAGACCCAGTAAACTGAAGGAGGAGGACGATTGGGCCAACACCGAACAACTTGTGATTCCCACCAGCCTGCGGCCCACTATTCTACACCTGGCCCACGGAGCATTCTCCCACTACGGCTTCAACAAGACTTACCATGGGATTCGTCAAGACTACTACTGGCCAGGTATGGTAAACAACGTCAAACAGTACGTAAAACAGTGTCATACATGTCAGATGGCAGGCAAACCGAACGTCTCCATTCCCAGAGCACCACTGATTCCCATACAGGTGCCTGCGGAACCTTTCCACAGACTCATAATAGACTGTGTTGGTCCTTTACCTCGGACCAGTTCAGGTAACGCCTACATCCTAACCATCCTGTGTCCTACCACCAGATTTCCCATAGCAGTTCCAGTGAAGAACATCACGGCTGCTACGGTTATCAAACATCTATTGAAGATCTTCACTCAATACGGATTTCCCAGGGAGATTCAAAGTGACTGTGGCACCAACTTCACCAGTGATCTCTTCAAAAGGACACTGGAGGAGTTCAACATCAAACAGGTATTGTCCAGCCCCTATCATCCTGCTTCACAGGGTTCTCTTGAACGTAGTCATCAGACCATCAAAGCACTCTTGAAAAAGTTTTGTAGTGAAACCTCAAAGGATTGGGATAAGCAGATTGACCTAATAATGTGTATTTTCAGAAGTCTCCCCAATGAGTCCCTAGGAGTATCTCCTTATGAGATGCTCTACGGCCGTAAGTGCCGTACTCCCCTTAAGGCTTTCAAAGACTCTCTCAGAGATGCCACCTTCAGTGAGCATCAGAATGTGCCCCAGTTTCTTCAAAACCTTCAGCACATTCTAGAGAGAGTCCACCGCTTTGCCCATGATAATCTATTGAAAGCCCAGGTGAGAATGAAGACTCATTACGACCAGACCAGCAAAGTAAGAAAATTCAAGCCGGGAGACTTCGTCCTTGCTTATTTTCCTATCCCAGGTTCACCTTTACAAAACAGATTTTCAGGACCCTACTGCGTCAAAGAGTGCAGGAATAATAATAATTATGTGATAGAGACTCCAGATAGGCGGCGGAAGACCCAGCTGTGCCACGTCAACCTCCTGAAGCAATATAATGGTACTCCTCCCACTGTCTTGACTAATTATTCCACATTCACAGAACCCTACATCCACAGTGAGACCTTCCCAGCTTCTCCTCCCGAAAGCACTGACAAGGAGTCAGCGCTTTCTAATTCCGAAATCCTTAATGATCTTCCCAAATACTTTCAGGATAATCATAGTGCACCTCTCGTCAAGATCTTCAGAGAACATCAAGAGTTGTTCAGAGATGATCCCCAAGAGTGTAATGTTACCCAGCACGACATCCAACTGCTCCCCGACACCCGGCCGATTCGTCAACCCTTCTACCGAATCAGCCCGAGCAAGAAGGAAGTCATGCGTGCTGAGGTGCAATACCTCTTGGATCATGGACTGGCTACACCTTGTGAGTCCCCCTGGGCCTCACCTTGTATCTTGGTGCCCAAACCCCAAGGTAAGGTGCGGTTGTGCACTGACTATCGAAAACTGAACTCTGTCACTGTCAAGGATGCTTACCCCTTGCCAAGGATAGATGACATCCTTGATGCCATTGGTAGTGCCCAGTACTTGTCCCAAGTGGACTTGCTTAAGGGGTACTATCAAGTGTGTCTAACGGAGCGCGCTAAAGAGATATCTGCCTTCATCACTCCTTTTGGACTTTTCAGATATGAACGCCTTCCTTTCGGACTATGTAATGCCCCGGCCACCTTTCAAAGAGCTGTCAACCGTGTCATCCAGGGCTTGGATAACACATACGCCTACCTGGACGATATCGTCGTAGCCTCCAACTCCTGGAGTGAACATCTGCTCCAGCTGCGACGTCTGTTCTCCAAGCTCCTGACAGCCGGCCTCACCATCAACCTGGGCAAGTCCACTTTCGCGAAAGGTAAAGTGCGTTATCTGGGTCATGTTATTGGGAGTGGCAGCATAGCTCCGTTAGACTCGCACACTCAAGCCATCCTACAGTATCCACAGCCTACCACCAGGAAGCAGCTCCTGCGCTTCCTTGGTCTTGCCTCTTACTACCGTAGGTTTGTGAGGAATTTCAGTACAGTCGCCACACCTCTAATTCTATTAACCAGTCCCAAGCAACGGTATAATTGGACCATGCAGCAAACCGTTGCTTTCGAACAACTCAAATTCCTCCTCTGTTCTAACCCCATTCTCGCCTCTCCAGATATCACCAAGCCTTTCGTCCTTCATGTCGACGCCAGTGGTACCGGCGTTGGTGGTGTCCTGATGCAACTACGAGGCGAGGAGGTTCTACCTGTCAGCTACTACAGCTACAAACTGAAACCACACCAGAGGAACTACAGCACTATTGAAAAGGAGCTACTATCCATCGTCCTGAACCTCCAACACTTCGCTCCGTACCTACAAGGCGCCAGGTCTACCACCATCTTCTCAGACCACAACCCTCTCCGCTTCCTACATCAAGCCCAATTCACCAACCAGCGTCTTCTACGATGGGCTCTGTATTTACAAGACTTCAACCTGGAGATCCGCTATATCAAGGGTTCTGACAACACCATAGCCGATGCCCTCTCCAGAGTTTATGAAGTAGAAGCGACTCCATTACTCCACCACATAACGACGTACTTCTTCCAGAACCGCAGGCTTCGGGGGAGAGTTGTGACGATAATCTCCTTCAAGAGATTGAGCCTGCTCTTCCCTCCAAAATTACGTCTTCACAATTATATAAAAAGACTATGGAAGAAATGTCCAACAACGACAACAACACCAGCACCAGCAAGGCTTGCCAGGGTGAGCAGAAACGTATGCATCCAGCCACCTGTTCGAACTCCAACCACCAAACTACCCGTTGATCGCTACGGCTCCGCTGATTGGTCGCCGGTCTGGCTGCACCTGCACTCGCCCCCAATACTACCTGATGTCTGGGGTCGCCCCAACATCAGTCCTCAGAATGTTCCGTGCTTTCGTAGCCAGCACTCCTCCCAGCTAGACGTTAGCGTGTACTGAGAGAGGTGGTGGCTTTAAGCCAATATTCCAGCACCTCCCACTTAACTGTTGTATTGCACTTCTTGTTATTTTGCCTTAACGTAACTTTTCATTGTGTCATTTAAGTATTCTTATTATTTTGATTGATTGATTTTATTATACATATTTGTTTGTGCATTATTTTCATGTTTTGATTTATTTAACGTAATTAAAATTTCATTGTTAAAGTTTACTTGTGTTTTGTGTGTCTTCTCCTTACCTTACCACAGACGAAGTTCCAGTTTTTCTATTTTTTTTTATAACTATGTGACGAGGCCATACCCCTAGCCTTAAACAGCCGAACACCAACGCGTAACCGTCACACAGTAAATATACAAATAGAATTTAAAGCTACAAAATGCATTGCAGCTATATTACTACTCTATAAGCAATTACACCTGGCACAGCACTGACTATGCTTTTGAATCACCTTTTATGGATTAGTACAATTAAAGCTTCTGCAATCATTGGTCATCCTACGAGTCCATTTTTGTTCAGGTATACAAGAGCATGCAAGCTTTGCGACGGCATTTGAATGTACACCACTTGTATGCCTATACTGGATTAACTTTACCTTTAGCTGTACAATTTTTCGATTAAATAAATATCTAATATTTTAGCCCCACACAAGAAAAAAAAAAAAAAAAAAAAAAAGTGATTGGGCTAAGTCATTGTTATGGTAGACAGATTTCCTGCTGCTTCCCACTGCAGTGCTTTTCAACTATTCAATGAACCGCCACCAGATCAACAATATTCAGTAAACAAACTATGAGACATGAGAACAAGCAAAATAATGGCAGCACCACACTACATGGGTCAACACCTGCCTCATTGATAAAATTGAGCAATTAGACAGCACTAATTCCTCTGCTTAGATTACTAATGTTCATTAGCATTTTAAGTTCAGGGGGGACTGTTGGCAAATCACTAATTATTGAATGCTTGGAATACTTGAGAGTCCAGGCATGAGCTTTTAAAAGATATCAATTAAACATAGGCATCAAAATGTGCCCAAGCATGCCCACCATTCTGGCAAAACTTAATAAAAAAAAAATAAATAAATAAAAAGGCTCAAGTGTCTACATTAGGAAATATCATCCATTTAAGGTGTCAAATAAAAGTTACTTTATTATTACCTTCTCATAATACTCTTTACTTTGAAAATTGGGAGACGAGATCAAGATTAAAAAAATCAAAGTAAAAATTAGCAACAAGTAGCTTTTAGGATGCTAAAGAAATAAATATAGCAGGAACAACAACAAAAAAAGTTTACAGTTGGGCAATTTATTGAATATATGAACAATAAAAGGAACCACTCATTATTTCTCCCAATACAATGAAAGAAAATTGTATTACAAAACCATAATGACTGAGCTGTTGAATGACTATCAGTGTCAATGTCAACCATTTAAGTCTATATAAAAAAAAATCCAGTGACAAAATTAATTCCACATTGGGATTCTACAAGGATTCAAAAACATACATGGAATGAATATCAACTTTTTTTTGTCCTTTTATTATTTTCCACTTTTTTTTTTACATTTTCAATTTTGATATATGTGTCTTACTAGCAACAGATGCCAGAGGTTACCATGGAGCTTGACAGAAAACACTCGATCCAGGAGCACACTTTACATCAGTCAACACCTAATGAGTGCAAAGCTTAGCCATAAAATGATAATGCTTGAATGGTTTGTAACTGTGGATGCTCTGCAACAAAAACCATATCTATCTTGAGTATAATTATGGCAATTACATACCAAAATATAATGAAAATTAAAGAAAAAATATTCTTTGGTCCACATGTTATCACAAATACATCACCATACAAAAATTCTAAATATACAAGAAACTTAGCTATAGTGCAATCTTAAATCAACAATGTGATTGAGCCTCTGATACTATGAATACAGATCATCTGTAAGAGTTGCATTGGATAATTACAGTATATCAAAGCAACACTGTTCAAGGCTCAATGGAGAAAATAATGCAGGCAGGCACTCCTTCCCTCCCTCCTGTATCTGCCACAAAGATATTTCTATCCCACTCCACAACAACGAGACAGCCTGGGGAATCTCAATACTTTGATTAACCAGGTTACACAAGCATAATTCTGAATATCAAGATCTTAAAACTACAAGATAAAATTCTATTAAATTTCCTATTAACTACATGTAACCTGGTTTAACCCAAGCATAATACAGAACCATTAACCTGTGCAGATACTACTCGATCTCATAGAGCATGTAGAAGTGATCATTATTGGCGGGCGCCAGTGGGTGGCCTGGTGGTATGGCCACAAATCCAAGGAACATGAAGGTGCGGATCAGCATAGCTGAAAAAAAAAAAAAAAAATATTGCCATCAGACTGAATGTACATTAAAATACAATGTGTGCTTTTAGTAATACTGTACAGTATTGTATACACTTTCTGGTAAAACATTTTATGCAATCATTTTATCTGAGAATCTATATACTGTACTACTATACTTTATTAATTGTAAGTGCTGAAAAATAAACTTCACAATTTTTATCAGCAGCAATGCACCATTAATGGAAGTTGGCTTACTTGGCAAGGCAATAAATTACGTAAAAGCATGTTCTTTAGCATAAAATAAGATCATAACATTGTAGAAGTTATCTGAAGTCAAACCTATATCCCGCAGAATAGCAGCCCTATGCACTGTCACATTTTCCAGTCGGAATTTAAATGTATCCAATATTTATGACCTTATTTATTAACTTAAGATTTACGACAAGTTTCGTAAGTTACATACAATTACCCGTGTCATGTTTAGCTTTATGTTATGTTCTATTATGTTTATGTTGGGTTAGGATGGCTTGCCAAATAACATTAATAGACAGCTTTGTCAAGGGACAAAGTTTTAACAAGATGTCAGGATTTGTGGAGTTTACAAGCATTAATAAAAATTATCAGCAAAATGAGAGTACAGTACTGTCGTATATTAAATTTGTTTGGAATAAATGTGTGTAACTCAGGTTGGCTGCACCACCTCTGACAGTGACATTATGCCACATGACAAACCTGTTGAAAGCATACTACATACAGCATCCACCATCCAAGTATGTATAAGGAGTTACATTTACAGTGATTAAAAATATTGTCTTTCACCAGAGAAGCGGTGGCCTTAGTCAGTTGGCAACCACCCCCAAATAACACCATTCCATCACTTGTGCACAAGTAATTTTAAATGTGTTCAGGTAGCATTTCGGTCTAGTCTTGTGGCACCCTAGACCACTACCCCTAATGTGTCTCGTCTTGAAAAAAAAATTACAAAAAATTAACTCGACACTGAAATTTGCAGGTTCATTACATTGAACTGCACAATTATTAAGAGATAGCGCCAAGCCGGGGAGACTAGCTCGAACTTCACAAGTCTTATCACTATCCACTGTCTTGGGAACTGCAAGCTACCATACAACAACCTTATTCAAAAATTGTCATTTATCATTATACAGTACTGTACAGTGGAACCTCTTAACCCTTAAACTGCGCATGGCGTATATATACGCCCTGAGTAACATGTCCCATGGTGCGCATGGCGTATATATACGCCATAGGGTGCCAGGCCTGATTCAAATGGCCCGCGGCTACACGGGGTTCACAGTAGCTTCCTCAGGGCTCTTGTAAACAGATGCCATTTTAAAAAAAAATCGTGGGTAATATTCTCAAGTGTGAGAGGCACAGTACTGTTGGAGCAACCAAGGCCGGCGCACGCAGCATGAGCAAACAGCATTGATGTTCAGCTTGTGACCACAGCATCGCCAAAAAATGTCAAAATAAATATATAATTGTTATTATTTAGCGATGACAATATTACAGATGACCCATGACTGTGATATAAGTAACCAGGGTTGTGATAATAGCAGGATTGTTGTAATAATTAGTGCTGTGGGAGGAGTGATGCTGAGAGACGGAGGGAGACAGCATCGTTTACTAACTGTGTGGCCACCTGTTATTGTTTGCATTCACCATACCAGGTCAGTGGTTCTCTATGGTGAACACAAATGTAGATACTTATATATAATGTGTGTATTAGTGTAATAACAGCAAAAGGATTATGCTGGGAGGAGCCATATGGGTGACGGAGGTGACGTCGTCTGCATGATTTGTCTAGCTGTTTAGAGTGTGGCCACTATGCTCTTTGGGCGCACTACAAGCTTAGGTGTACAGTTACGGTGCATAAAACATGTAGATATTTATATATAATATGTGTATATAGGGTAATAACACTGCAAAAGGTATTGTTGGGGGAGAAAGTTTAGTGCGTGTGACCTTAAAAGAGTGAGGGAGTCGCCAGCCGCCATCTGTGTATAGCGACGACTCTTAGTGCCTGAACTAACTATATCAGCTTAGCTGTACAGTTGTGGTGAACAAAATATACACATACTTATATATAACGTCTGTATATAGTGTAATAACACCACAACTGGTATTGTTGGGGGAGAAAGTTTAGTGCGTGTGTTGAGGGAGTGGCAGCGAGTGGCTGGCTGGTGTGTGGCGGTAACTCCTCGTTGCTTTTCGACTCTCAATACCAACTTAGTGGTTCGTTATGGTGACCAAAACATGCCAATACTTATATATAACCTGTGTATAGAGTGTAATAGCAGCAAAACTATTTGTTTATAGCTTTATAAACATAATTGAATCACTAATATGCACATCATACTTTTGAGTATAGCGATTATTAACCACTTATTATATAAATATATTACAATACACACTATTGAATAATATTACTGCAAAAAAAACTAAGAAAAAATCAATCGGAGACATTGAAACAATTAGGTAATAATATCTTTGTGGCAACTCCCATCTGTCAACGCGGGTGACGCTGACCGGGTCTGACGACTGCTCTGTCAACGCCCACTTTTTGCCAGACTTCCTCGGTCAATTGCGCCCAAAATATGTCGCCTACGATTTTTTTTTTTTTTTCCGTGCTCAGGGGACAAATTAACATGTTTAGAAGACGAAAAAAAATTTGAATTTTTTTTTTCTTGCGCACAGGGGTGTAAATGTCCCAAGGACCCCTGAGCAGTGTAAGGGTTAATGAGTTTAATCCGTTCTGGCACCGAGCTCGTTACCTGGAAAACTCGTCTTTGGAAACAAATTTCCCCATTTAAAATAAAGGAAATAAATTTAATCCGTTCCACTCCCAAAAACATCCATACTTTTATGACTATGTAAATATAATATTGCACATGTAAATATAAATGTTTTATTGTAGTGTTTTAATATTTACTTTACCTTATGAAGAGTAGTTGCTGGCTTGAGGGAGACGATGGGGAGGTGGGAAGGAGGAGAGGGGTTATGGTGTGGAAGGAGAATCCACCTCGTGAGTCAGGCAGACTCTCTCTCCTTGGGAATTTCACCCAAATTTCATTTCAAATGTCACACAAGGATGCGTTAGACCAGCACCAAATAAAAAACTACGTTGATTACACTCGTTGTGTCAACAATATAATAGTCTTACCACGAAGATACAATACAATGCCGTTTTCTCAAATAGGCAATGTGGTTATTAAAGAAAACGGAAATTTCATGGCAAACATGTATACAATCCCCAAGTCGATCGGATAAGAATTGGATTTTATAGAAATATTTGCTCAAATGACGCTCGAGCGCGGTGTTTGGGTGCATTCAAGAGAAAAAAAGTGTGTTACGTTCAAGCGACATATACCTGCGAAAGTGATAACACTTTCATAAAGTGTTATCACAAAGTGATAAATTAAACATTTTCACACACCGGGTTGTCACTGCTTTATCAGGGCAGCTTTTCCAAGAATGCTTTTCTTGAAAACCTTTTCAAACATTCCAAACACTTCCCTGATCTCAGTGGAAGAGGCAGCATCCTCCCTTACCTCCTCATTCCCTTACTAATGGTGTAAATTGTTGATGAGGACCTGCCATACTTCCTTGTGAGATCAATCACACAGACACCACACTCATGCTTTGCTATAATTTCCTTCTTTAAATCCACAGTAATTGTGTCTTTCTTCCTCTTGACAACACTATCTTTAGCAAGCAGCTTCTTTGGAGACATCGTGTGTTACAAATTGTAGTCGCAAAACCACTAAAAACCCAAAGAAAAGCTCAAATAAATCCAGAGGGATGCTTGTAGTGCGAGATACAACAACACTGGCGTCGGAGGCGTCCGAGAATTTGCGAGAACCCGCGAGACGCTAGGAAGCGCCATGTGGTTTCACTCGTTAATAGAGGCGAGCTTGTCAATAGACACAAATTTGCTGTGAGTGGCTTGCTCGTTACTGGAAAAACTCGTTAATAGAGGTTCCACTGTACTTCAATCTATATAAAATAAAATGTCTGTCCAAATGGAAAAAGCCAAATGCTTAGGGTTGGTCTCGCCCAATCATTCAAGATGATATAGGAAGGGGTGGGGGGTATGTGGTTATCAAAGGCCAGTCAGGGTAGGCCTCAGTGCCACCCTGTAAGAAATATTGGCATCTATGATGACACTTGCTATTTTCGTTGTCTGAAATTGGGGGATGCATTTTCCAGAGTTAGTTTTTCAGTACTTCATAATACAGTATTACATTTATCAAGGGTGAAGGGGAGAGGGGAAGAGGAGGTGGGAAAATAATAGGGGTATGGCACCTGGATACCCAAACTAGTATCCATTAAATCTTACAGGAACTGATGGAAGGTAGTATCATCGATCCCTATGCAATGCACAACTATTAAAATTTTATAACTTCTTAATTACAAAAATGTAATAGTGTGGGGCAAGTTACTGTACTAGAACGTGGCAAGTTTTTCAAGATAGTACAGTATTTATGAAATGACATGGGGTAAAATAATGTCATTTATATTTGGGGGGAGCAGGGTTATCCCATCCCGTCTCACTATTGAAACCATGGTCCCTAAAAAAATATGGGTCACAATGAAAGTGAAAGAGGCTCAAGTAACAACATACTAGAGTGAACAATATGAAAGCAAATGCTGAATAGAACCAGTGAAGAGCAGGGGTGCCATAGGCACAATCAGAGAACACTGTATAAACATCAGAGGTCCTCGGTTGTTCGACATCCTCCCAGCGAGTACTGTACAAGAAATATTACCGGAACACCTGTGGATATAATCAAGAGAAACCTAGACTGTTTTCTAAAAAAAAGTGCCAGACCAACCGGGCTGTGGTGGGTATGTGGGCCTGCGAGCCGCTCTAAGCAACAGCCTGGTGCACCAAGCTCTCAAATCAAGCCTGGCCTGGCCTGGCCTGGCCTGGCCTGGCCTGGCCTGGCCTGGCCTTCTGCCAGGCTTGGGGAGAAGAACAACTCCCAGAACCCCATCAAGCAGGTATGAAAATAATTTATAAATTCCAATGAGACTATATGGCTTTTATTATAAACTAGCTGTACCCGGCCATGCGTTGCTGTGGCTCAGCAACGCATGTGCGTTGCCGAGCCACAGCAACTTTCCCCCCATCTTCCAGTCCTCCCCAAAATTTCCCCCGTCCCGTCCCCTCATCCTCCCAACCATTCCCCACTCATCCCCTCATCCTCCCAACCATTCCCCACTCATCCGTCCCCTCATCCTCCCAACCATTCCCCACTCATCCGTCCCCTCATCCTCCCAACCATTCCCCACTCATCCGTCCCCCCATCCTCCCAACCATTCCCCACTCATCCGTCCCCCCATCCTCCCAACCATTCCCCACTCATCCGTCCCCCCATCCTCCCAACCATTCCCCACTCATCCGTCCCCCCATCCTCCCAACCATTCCCCACTCATCCGTCCCCCCATCCTCCCAACCATTCCCCACTCATCCGTCCCCCCATCCTCCCAACCATTCCCCACTCATCCGTCCCCCCATCCTCCCAACCATTCCCCACTCATCCGTCCCCCCATCCTCCCAACCATTCCCCACTCATCCGTCCCCCCATCCTCCCAACCATTCCCCACTCATCCGTCCCCCCATCCTCCCAACCATTCCCCACTCATCCGTCCCCCCATCCTCCCAACCATTCCCCACTCATCCGTCCCCCCATCCTCCCAACCATTCCCCACTCATCCGTCCCCCCATCCTCCCAACCATTCCCCACTCATCCGTCCCCCCATCCTCCCAACCATTCCCCACTCATCCGTCCCCCCATTCCTCCCAACCATTCCCCACTCATCCGTCCCCCCCTTCCTCCCAACCATTCCCCACTCATCCGTCCCCCCTTCCTCCCAACCATTCCCCACTCATCCGTCCCCTCATTCCTCCCAACCATTCCCCACTCATCCGTCCCCTCTTCCTCCCAACCATTCCCCACTCATCCGTCCCCTCTTCCTCCCAACCATTCCTCACTCACCCGTCCCCTCATCCTCCCAACCATTCCTCACTCACCCGTCCCCTCATCCTCCCAACCATTCCACACTCACCCGTCCCCTCTTCCTCCCAACCATTCCCCACTCACCCCTCCCCTCTTCCTCCCAACCATTCCCCACTCATCCGTCCCCTCTTCCCAACCATCCTCCCAACCATTCCCCACTCATCCGTCCCCTCTTCCTCCCAACCATTCCCCACTCATCCGTCCCCTCTTCTCCCCAACCATTCCCCACTCATCCGTCCCCTCTTCCTCCCAACCATTCCCCACTCATCCGTCCCCTCTTCCTCCCAACCATTCCCCACTCATCCGTCCCCTCTTCCTCCCAACCATTCCCCACTCATCCGTCCCCTCTTCCTCCCAACCATTCCCCACTCATCCATCCCCTCTTCCTCCCAACCATTCCCCACTCATCCGTCCCCTCTTCTTCCCAACCATTCCCCACTCATCCGTCCCCTCTTCTTCCCAACCATTCCCCACTCTTCCGTCCCTTTGGCCTCCCCAACATCCCCCACTCCAGCATCCGCTCATCCTCCTAACCATTCCCCACTCCATAGTCGTCGTCGTCGTCGTTGTCTCCTCCTCCTCCTCCTCCTCCTCACTACCCCATTCCCCTCTTCATCCCTAACATTCCCCACTCCCTCGTTCAATGCATTCCCAAATGATCTGATGTTCCCATCAGAAAATTGGGATCATCAAATGATCTGATGTTCCCATCACTGAAATATAAGACAGTTAAAAAACGAAATAAAAACAATAAAAAAATAAGAAAATAAACTATACTCGGGAAATGAACGGTATGGTAAACAACACGGCTCAATTCCAACGCAACGTCACAAAAATTAAATCAAAATGAAAAGCAATTGAAATCTATGAAAATTCATTTTGTCAATGCAATCAGAAACATTGAAATGGAATCATAATGTATTAAGTATTGTGTGTGTGTTGCTCTTACGTGCAACAGATGACGTCGTTTCTTAAAAAACTAATTATTTTACCTGTCACAGGTGTGGCATCTATACTTAGGAAATGGTACACAACACAGCTCAATTTCAAAGCAATGTCACAACATAATTCAATCAAAATGTAAATAAATTGAAATTTATGAAAATTAAATTTAACAATGCAATGGGAAACATTGAAATGGAATCATAACATTTAGTATAGCGCGAGTTGCTATTATAAGCAACAGATAGCGCTGTTTAAAAAAAAAAATGTTTTTACATGTCACAGGTGTGGCATCTATATAGTCGATATATAAAAACACGCGAGTATTCAAATGGAACGTTGTGTCAAAATTTCAAAGCCATTGGTGAAGAACTTTTGGAGATTACAGCGTGTGTTGCTCTTATGTCTAACAGATGGCACTTTTTAAAAAAAAGCACGTTTTTTCCTGTCACAGGTGTGGCATGCATATGGTAGATATATAAAAACACGCGCTTATTCGAATGCAACGTTGTGTCAAAATTTCAAAGCCATCTGTAAAATGGTTTCGAAGATTTCCCTTGCATGAAAAACAAACAGTTTAAAAAAAAAAAAAAGCATATTTTTTCCATCACAAACATGACATCTATATAATATGTACATATAAACCCGCTTGGATGTGAATGGAACGTTGTGTGAAAATTTCAAAGCAATCGGTGAAGAACTTTTGGAGATTAGCGATTTTGAACAAACATTTCCATTTTTATTTATATAGATTTGCAGCCCTGATCAAACTTGCATACTTTTAGCTTTAAGTCCATATGATTATGCACCCCAAGACAATGCACAAAACCTGTCCGAAAAAGCACACAAGGCATCCCTACCACAGACGCCCAGTTGCTGTGTTTTAAATAGCCATTACAAAATATATTGCACTATCTGGGAAATCAACTATGAGCAGCTAACTTTGAGAAATAACATCAAAATGCAACCTATATATAAAGAGTAATACAGTATTCAGGACTATGAAAAGTCGTAGATTTAAATAGCTATGAATTCGTGCACTTCCAATTCAGAACATGGTATAAAACAAATTAAGCTGGAGAACAATAAATGCAGCTCCACCTTCATGTGGAGCTGCATCATTCATTTGCCACACTATGTAGCAAATGTTAAAATAGCTACCTACATGATACCTGCTTGATGGGGTTCTGAGAGTTCTTCTCCACAAGCCCAGCCCTAGGCCTGGCTTGACTTGTGAGAGCTTGGTTCACTGGGCTATTGCTTTGAGCAGCCCGCAGGCCCACATATCCACCACAGCCTAGCTGATCCAGCACTCCTTTGAGAAAATTATCTATTTTTCTCTTGAAGACGTCCACGGTTGTTCCGGTAATATTTCTTATACTCGCTGGGAGGATGTTCAACAACCGTGGACCATGGATGTTTATACAGTGTTCTCTGATTGTGCCTATGGCACCTTGGCTCTTCACTGATCCTATTCTGCATTTTCTTGTGATTTATGTGATTTACTTGGCCAAGTGAGCTGCTGCACCAAAGATCACACCAGTTATGTCAACAGGCTTTTATAAAAAGTTGAGCCAATTTGTTTTTCACCTAAAGTACTAAAAGTTACCAAATCTAAGTTGTAATAACTTATTCATAAAGCATTTATACAAGGGAATGTACAAATTAAACCAAATTAAAGTTTTCCCAACCTCGATCACTGCGGTCCTTCTTGAAGCAAATTAGTACATGAGAGCATCCAAGGACTTCCTCAGCATACTCCAATAGTGACACAAATGCCTCTTTGCTGCCCTCTGGTAGATGCAAGATGGACAAGTATAGACGGCGGCCAACTACGACAGTTTCCCATAGCACCGTCGTCTGTTCCGCCAATTGAAATTCAAAACTCAAACGGACACAACCGCTTTGAGCTGCAGACACCACTTCAGTACCCTGAAACGCAAACAATTGATTAAAACACCTTGAAAGCTGCTCAGGTATTAATTTATATCTTTTTTTTTTTTTACACTTTTATTGTTTGTATATTTACTATTTATAAAACAATTTAGTTATGAAAATAAGCAAATTGCAGTACTGTACCATACAGAAATGTGAGAAATAATCGGAACATGCCATTTTATGCTGAAAGCAAGGTCTAAACTTGGGAAATGATAGTTACCAAATATTGGCTGGACTATACCGAAATTGCCATATCATAAAATTCTAACATCTGTACTGTACCACACTGGGTCACTAGCCATCATCAATTATCACAGGAACAAACAAAAACTTACCGACACAGGTTTACAACGAGTGCCGGCCACAGGGGGCTCTGAAGGTTTCCCCACGCCGCTGCCCTCTGCACTAGTAGACACATAGGCGGCATGGGGAGCATCAAACCCACCACCGAGGCCCTGCGCCCAGGTGAACTGAGAAGTGGCGCATTCCTCCACTCATACTACTAGAGTCCGTGCTGGAAAATAAGAGTACACAACAATAAATAGTGTATAAAGCAGAGCATAGGAAGTCTTAAGCTCCATATATTGTCACTATAGCACTGCAACTGTGACTAGTTAATAATTTACTAAGGATTTGTGTAAACTGACCCAACTATAATTGTGCAAATAAAGTCATGGAATTTAATTTTAATTAGCAAAATATCATAAGCATGACATTTCATTATCAGTAATTTAGTCTTGTGTTGTACATTAAGAATCTAGTCTTATTTTATGGCTACTGTATGTGAAATAAAAATTACTTAATTTTTATGTGCAACTGAAAAATTAATAATACAGCTAAGAGATATACATTGCCTCTACATCTGTGATCAACATGGACAAAACTTATTTGTTTATTTTTAATTCATTGTGTTGAGGACAGGCAGCCAGTGTGTACATAGATGTAAGGCTTATAGAGGTTTCCATTTCCGCAAAGTTGAGGATGCAACTCAACAACACGCCAACTCTAAGTACCTGTTTACTACTAGGTAAACGGGTGCATTAGGTTATAGGAAATGCGCCAACTATTCCTTTCCCACCCGGGATTCAAACCCCAAAGTCCTGATTGTGAGTCAAGAACCAGCCTAACTTTAATCATTAATCACAATGATTACAAAAGCAGCAAGTGCCTTTATAAATTCAAATGATATTTTATATAAAATACTACATATGCAATGCTCAACAATAACACTAAGCAACCATAAAGGTACATACTGTAATTGGCAATTAAGAAAATACAGTACTAGGGCATTTTACCTATTATAATAGGATACTAGAAAATGTCAGAGGATGCTTTCTATTTTTATAACATGAAAATCACACATTTTCTGACAAATTATCAGAACAGTATACTGTACATACTGTATTTGCACGGCAACAAAAATTGAGAAAAAGTACAGAGTAAAGGCTGAGTTTAAAGATCATATTTAGACAAACCTTCTAGCCCATGTAAGCTGATACTCACACATTAGCATTACTGTACTGTGCTCTGACCCACATTTATGCCTGCTCTCACCTAGCTCTTGTGCCACATCCCATTGGGTTAAGATGCCTACAATTTTCAATTTGGGGGACTATTTTTAACCTTGCCCTTTCATACAAACATTTATGATACTTGAACAGTTTTTGCACACCCACTGACTGGTAGGTCCACATGAGCAATCATACTTGTCAATGTCGCTCATGGTCACATTATACTTTAAATATATGTACAGCAGATTAATTTATAAACCCAAAAGTACAGTATAGAAAAAATAGCAATTTAGAGACACTAGAGATATGTGGAATATGCTATATAAAATAACTATAGTACTGTATTGCAAAACAGTATTGGACCTTGTTCATGTTTCTAGGATTTTTTCCCAGAAAAATTAACATTTTCACGTCTATCTTTCAAAGATATATATTTAACTTCGAAGACAACACAAAATGCTGCCACTTATGTGGAAACAAAGATCAAAGCACTGTACTATTTGACTTGCAAAAGTTTTATCAAACCTAATAGTGATGTTGCTCTAAGAAACCTTGGGAAAGGACACGTTTCAAAGTGAAGGTGGTGAATTAGAGGGGCCTCAACAATTTTAACATTTTATATGTCCAGAAAGGGATTAGAAATTTCAAGTATAGCAATAGACACTAAACAAAAATTTTGATTAATAAAATATTTAATAACTCACTAATATAAACTTATCTGACATTACTGTATTGATTAAAAAACCATTCTTAACCCAAACGGTACAAGAAACCCTAGAATTGGTTAGGAGAAAGAGACCTAGGGGTTAACCCCTAAACTGCTCAGCATAAGGGGCAGGGAAGCTAAAAATATTTAAATTATGTACAAATTACTTTAAAATGTTTAATCTCCAAATTATTGGCTTCAGCATCTTTAAACTTTCATAAAAATAATTTCAGAAATTGATTTTAGACATTTTTTTAAAAAGAACGTTTTGTTAAGAAAAACAGCTATTACCTGGAACTGATGTATAAAGCAGTAATAGAGATGCAAGCACCTGTTCGAGGCACAAAAAAGAATAGTAGTAAGAAGTGTCCAAAAAGTGGATATGCAGCTGGTGCCTTTATAGCATTGGCGAGTAATACATAAATAATAATGAATGTTATTATGCTCTATTTTGTTATATATCATATAAATACATTGCACAATGTTAATATCAGTTACTTTCATCAATGTTGAAAAAAAAATTTAAGGGTAGTTTTTTTAGGTTTTTATTTTTTTCTCCTTTGTTTATTATCTTATTTTGTTGTAACCTTTACACCCTGGAGAGTGCATACCCATCCCTAACTATGTCAAGACAGAATTAAATTGGTCAACAAATGAATCGGTCCCAACTCGCAGAACTTGGTACTTGAATGCCAAATAAAATTAATTAAAACATACAAGTAAATTCATGAATTAGAATTGCCTTATTTATTATCGATAACTTCAACTACAATTATATCTAACTAGAATTTCCAACTTACTTCAGTATCCAAAAATCTAGTTTGACCGATTCTTACCATATTTACATATAGTTTGCACAGCTGTCCGTTCTACAGTCCCTATAGAATTTATTTTTCATAAACCCTAAACATTTAGCATTATTAATTAGTATTGTTTAAATATGCGCCGATTTTACATAGACAAATTTTTGACAGTAAACTACTGAAAATCTTTATTCTAAATATATGAAAATGAAGATCATATGCTATTTATTCTGAGAGTATAACATTTTATATTTTTGCAGCCAATTTCAAAATTTGACATTTTCAATATTCAATTTTATAATTATTTTTTATTATCTTGTTCAAGTTACATTGGTATTATTTAGACAAAGTTGGAGCATTTGCCTAGTAGATTATGCACAAAACATCTGAAAGAGTTTCAGCAAATTTTAAAAATCGAGCTCAATGTCCCATTTCATATGACTTTTGTGCAGCTTAAGGGTTAATATTCCACTGAAGCTTACATCAAACCAACATCAGTTGCATATGCTAGACTCCCCAAAATAAGAAGTGCCTTTAGAAATCTATTTCTTAATCATTCAGAAAATTGTTTTCGACATGTTAGATGAATTCTGAAATATATGGCACAAGCACAAAGTCCTATCTCTTCAAAGAAAATGAAGCTGGAGAAAATTTAGAGGTACGCCACCTAATTAGTCTACATCCATGAGGGATGAGTTACATAAAAAAAGAAATAGGAATTAAACCTCACATCACCTTTCAACCTCATAACAAAGTGGACAAAGGAAGATTATTTAAATTAACGAGGTAGGACTACAGGAAAACGGTGGAAGCTGAACACCTAATTGAATCCAAGACATTTAGGAAGTTCTCTTTGATAGAGCTGATGAGTTTGTCAAAACGTTTCCTCATAAAGAGGGAATTGATTATCATCTTTGACGGCAGGGCAGCAATATTCTGGGAACATTAACAAAATCTCGTACTCGTGAAATTCACACCAGTTACTCCATTTATAATCATTCTATTATGCAGAACTGCACGTCTATGGGTCGTCCAATAAGGCTAACAAACTCCTCGATGTTACCACTGGTGGGCTTAGGCTTTACTATAAGTTGTTCTGGAAATAAGCAACATCTACTGATGTAGATTTGACTAAATGTAAACTGTCAGCAAAACTATTCGCATACTTTGCGTCATAACAGTGCTCACCTAGCACTAGTGTAGCCCCCAGAGTCGAGATGGTTGAATGCTGAAAGTTAACCGGACTGAAGGAAAATTTATAAAACTTCATTAACATCCAGTAGGGATGCTATAACAAACATTTACATATTTTATATAATCTTAATCATTACCAATCATTTTATCATTCTGGATGCCTAATAACATCATTTGGAATATATCTAACAAGTTTTGTGAAATTCAGCATTTATAAAAAAATGAACATTTATAAATTTTAAAATATATATATTTTAAAATAATTGGGCATAACACACAATAGCGGTTGTCATGTGAAAGCGTCAACTCATGGCCCATCGTGAACCCTTGTGCTCGACACAAGGGTTGCCGGCTACCCAGGTCGCGGCCACGTGGATATCAACCACTGAGAGCTGCGGCGGACTAACATTCTTGGCGCCCGTCTGTATGGCATCTTCGCAAACTCTCTATATTAAGATGTACACTGAAAAAGTTGCCAATGTGCCTTTTCTTATCTGATTTAACCAACAGTTTCTTAAACTTCCAACTACCGTTTATTGACATCTATAATTTTGCAAGATTCCAAAGGAATGATTTGACATTTTCGAAAGTCCAAATACTGTTTATATACTGAATATTTAAACAGTGCCAAATCCATATATACAGCAAAATGCGTCTCCAACCCAAGTGGCAAAACCGAATGAATTGTAAGCAAAAGATTCTGAATCAAGCCTGACGTCTGCTTTTTCAGTTGTGCGTAGCAACTTAAGCATTTGCAAAACCAGCTTCGAGAATGTGTGTATATATATATATATATATATATATATATATATATATATATATATATATATATATAAATATAATATATATATATATATATATATATATATATATATATATATATATATATATATATATAATATATATATATATAATATATATATGTGTGTGTGTGTGTGTGTGTGTGTGTGTGTGTGGGTGTGGGTGTGTGGGGTGGGGGTGTGGGGTGTGTGGGGTGTGGGGTGTGTGGGGTGTGTGTGGGGGTGTGTGGGGTGTGTGGGTGTGTGGTGTGTGTGTGTGGGGTGTGGTGTGTGTGGGGTGTGGTGTGTGTGGGGTGTGTGTGTGTGTGGGGTGTGTGTGTGTGGGGTGTGTGTGTGTGTGGGGGTGTGTGTGTGTGTGGTGTGTGTGGTGTGTGTGTGTGTGGGTGTGTGTGTGTGTGTGTGTGTGTGTGGGTGTGTGTGTGTGTGTGGGGTGTGTGTGTGTGTGGTGTGTGTGTGTGTGTGTGTGTGTGTGTGTGTGTGT